TGGTTTAGGTGCTCTGCAGCTTTGAGCTCACACAGGGTAGCTCAGGCTGGAGAGCATAGTGTGTGAGTAGAGGAGGGAGGGGACCCAGCACTCTCTACCTGCAAGCTGAGTTGACTGAGAGGGTGACAATTTGGAGACTTGGAGGGTTGAAATGTCAGCAATCTCTGTGCCTCATGGAAGGTCCTCAGGAGCTTAGTCCCAGACAATGGCCTTAGGAGAAGAAATACTGTGGTCCTAAGCTTTCCCACAGCACCTTCCATTAAGGATTGACTGCCAGACCTGAGATCCAGCCAGCAACTAACATCACACCATGGGTGGCCTGTCCCCTAAATCTTTCCCACCATATCCATCAAGCAGACAGAGGCAGGCATGGGCAGAGCTCAGGTGCCACTTACACAGCAGCTTTCAGGCTTAAAGCTTCATCCAGGCAAGATGTGTGGCAGTGGTTTCAATGGCCAATGAGGCGGATGAAATAAACACACAAGAAGCCTATTGAGTTATTGGAGGCAATTGTATTGCAAGAGTGAAGACAACCTTGACACGGGCTGTAATTCTTCCTCCCTCTAGGTGATCTGTGCAGCCTTGAGAAAGAATATAGTCTGAAAATCTCACCTGAGCTGTGGGGAATATGTTAAACAACAAAGAATCCTGTAGTTTCATGGAGGGCAATGAACAAGATGGCATTTCACAGAGTAGAAGCAGGCAGGGTTGCCTGAGAAAGGAAGCACTCGTGATTCCTGCCCAGCAAAATCCCATCATGTGGACCATCACTGTGTTTCTTCTGCCCCCTTCCTGGTTTTCAATGGAAAGTCTCTTGGCTTCCCCCAGCTCCACTCCCCTCCCTTCCCTTTCTTCTCCTTTCCCTCCCCTTCCCCTCTCTTCTCCTCCCCTTCCCTCTTCTCCTCTTTTCCTTCCCCTCCTATTGTCTTCTTTTTTTTTTGCCCTCTCCTCCTCTTTCCCTCTTTCCTTCTCCACTCTCCTTTCCTTCTCATTTCTGACTCTAATCATGGCTGTCCTGCTTCTCATGCACCACCGGGTGGAGAAACATGGGGGTGAATCGCTCACGTTGTCTCTACTTGGTCATTCAGCCACGAGGAGCCATATTAGGATCTGATAGTGGGTGTTGCTTAGCGCCATAGGTTCTGGACTTCTGGCGGCCTGCAGTGACTGAGCATATGTTTAAGGTGGAGAGGGTCTGTGGGTTCTATCTGATTAGAATAGAACTTAAAGACTGTGGCAGAAACTGTAAGTTAACATCCAACATCTGGATCTTATCTTTTCTCACAGTAATAGGACCCCTGGTGTTTAGGTGGCTCAGAGTGATGCAAAATAAAGACCTATTTCTCAGCATCCTTTGCAGGCTGCTTTAGTCATGTGATGAATTCTGACCAATAGGATGTGGTATTTGGGGTGTGCAATGCCCATGGATTGTCCTGAAAGGGTGCAGGGGTGCCTTCTGACTTCTGGATTCTTGTGGGCTAGAATGTGAGCACAATGGCTGAGGTTTCAGTGGTCACTGTAGACCATACTTGTCAGTGATGTTCAGGATGCGAGCCTGCATAGCTGAGCAAATGCAGAGGAGGAGCTGGGGTCCCTGACACTGTGCAGCACCCTACCAGCCTTCAGTGGCTACTCGAAGGCTTTTAAACATCAGGGAGAAATACATTTCTGCTTTCTTCAAGCCCTTATTGCACGGGGGTTTCCAGTTACCCTTCTGAATGAAATCATCGCTGACAGAGTAAGCAAGCCTGATGCAGAAAGAGTGGCCAGGAAGCTACTGCCTCAGCAGGGAGCTGAGAACCTGAGCTAAGGCAATAGCAGTGGAGGTGGTGAGGAAACCATGCGAATGAGGTCAAGAGGTAGCGCAGACTGGATTTAGTTGCTAAATGGACGAGGAGGTGACAGATAAAGACAAGCAGAGCATTATAGCTGGGTTTCTGGCTTGGATGCTGTGGAGGAGCAACGGGCGTGGTTAAGAGTCCTCAGAAGGAATCTACAAAGTGAGAGAAATCCAAGGATAGAATCTGGAAGAATGCTAACAATTTAACAGCAGAAGAGAGGTGTCACCAGGACCACCTGGTTGAACGATTAATAATGTCAGTTATGAGAAATAAAATATGATGAGGAATGAAATCCCTGGGGATCTTTTCAGAAAAATCACCATGACATGTTGGACATGAAAGCTGGATGGTTTAGGAGCCAATGTGAATCAAAGAGATGGGCAAATTACCTGGCGCTGCATTTTATTTAATTTATTTTTTTAGAGGCAAGATCCCACTCTGTCACCCAGCTTGGGGTGCAGTGGTGTCATCATAGCTCACTGCAGCCTTGAACTTTTGGACTCCAGCAGTCCTCCTACCTTAGCCTCCTGAGTAACTGGGACTACAAGTGTGCACCATCACATCTGGCTAATCTTTAAATTTTTTGTAGAGACAGGGTCTTGCTATGTTGCCCAGGCTGGTCTCGAATTCCTGGCCTCAAGAGATCCTCCTGCTCTGGCCTCCGAAAGAGCTGGGATTACATGCGTGAGCCCTGCTCCTGGCCTTAGGCTGCACGTTAAATGGTAACAGTAATAAAGAGGAGAAAGAGTTGCTGTCAGAGTGGGATAAAGGTTTTTGTAAAGCCTATTTATTTTTATTTTTAAGTATCACTTAGTCTCTATGTGTTTACAGGATACAGGGAGCAGCTCTTTGTGTAGAAGTTGAAATGTGAGAGAGGGAACCTCCGTTGAAGCCCTGGAAGGCGCCATGGGGAGGGCGCTGGCTGCACCATCAGCCTTGTGCAGGCTCCCTGCTTCCTCTGAGGCTGAGATAAAGAAGGAGCAGGTAGAAATTAACACCTTTAAAGGTGCTGGTTTGAGGATCTGAGGGTTTTTTCTTTTTTTAGCTTCAGATTTCTTGGTGAGGTAGAAGAGATTGATCCCTTAGACGAGTAGGTGCTGGTGTTCTGGAGGGCTTGAGAAGGGTCCGAATGGCCACAACGGCACAGTACATATTAGCTGTGATTGTTATAATGTTATCATAAAACAAGTATTTTTAAAAAAGCGTTTCTAAGTGGAAAGGAAATATAGGATGGAGCAAGGGGAGAAGGAACCAGGTAGACACACAAAACCTGACTTTGTATGGAGTGCTGGTGTGATTCCAGTGCTAGCCCTTGTGAAGTCCAATGGTAGAGACAAATAGGAGGTGCGCCAATGAAGTCCTAGGCATTGAAGCAATAATGATGGCACTGAGATGAGTTGTGTGATGCCAGCTGCATCCTGCCGCTCAGTTGTGCTAATGTCCAGGAGGGATATTCAGAGCACAAATACTGTAAGGGCATGGACAGCAGTGCCTTCTCCATCAGCACCCCGCAGGCAGCCTCCCCAAGGGATGAGCTCCCATGGCTGATGCACTTGCTGTTGGTTTGGTTTCCAATATGGTAGCAATGTTATTAGAAAAAAAACAATCCAGACCAGAGGTCCTCCCCAATGTCCCGGTTGAGGCTTGGTCATTGTCAACAAAGAGAAATCACTCAGCAGGCTGGCAGGGACGTGAGCTGAGGAAGCTTGGATGAACCCAACATGGTGCACGAGCCTGAAACGTTGAGGGTGCCTAGTACCAGACATACTCTTCCCAGAGCAGCTCTGCAGGGTGCGTCTGGCTTCACAACAGTTTTTGTCTGGTGGCCCAGACTCTCAGTCCTGTTATTCTCAAGTGCTGACTCTTGGAGGTTGGAATTAGTTTCTTTTAGGCATTCTCAATTCACTCTGCCTCCAAGATTCTAAGTGATTTCATCTGATGAACTGTTATCGTCTCGGCGTGAGGACTCGAAGGAGTGTGTCATTTGTGGTCTGCTTTCTTTTTCTATCTTGGCATCTGTTATGGACTGAATGTCTGTGTTCCTCCAAAATGCATTTGGGACTTTGATGATATGGGACTTTGGGAGGTAATTAGGGTTAGATGAGGTCAAGAGAGCAGAACCCTTAGGATGGAACCAGTGTCCTTAGAAGAAGAATGAATAGGTCCTTCTTTCTCTCTCCACACACACCGAGGAAAGGCTTTGGGGGGACATGTCAAGAAGTCGTCTGTCCACAAGCCAGCAAGAGAGCCCTCAGCAGAAAATGAATCAGCTGGCAGCCTGATCTTGGACTCCCAGCCTCCAGAATTCTGAGAAATAAATTTCTGTTGTTTAAAGTACCCAATCTGTGGCATTTTGTTATGATGGTCCCGATGGACTAAGACAGCATCACAATGTAAAACCACACACACACACATGCACGCACGCGCACACACACACACGCACACACACACAGAGTGCGTGGCATGCATTTTTACCCAACCAAACTCCTCCTTGCAGCAAGAACTCTTCTCTACTTTGGAGTGGCTTGGTGAGTTCAAGATGCTGGAAGACCCTCCTGCAGCACAGAATGCTCGGACATGGGACACTGCCCTGGCCTTGTAGTCCCCATTTCCTCAGGCTAGCTTAGATGTTGGGCTCTTGGTCATGGCTTCATCAGGACTAAATATCGGATGGAAACAGGCATGACACACATGCCGAGAGCACTCCTCACTCCCCAAGGCATTAAATCACCTTGTTATCTAGTGCCCTCTAGAATCTCATTTACATGTGATCTCTTCTCATAGAAGTGTCTCAAGTAAATCTGAATTGGTTTAGACAATTGCATGGTATTGTAAAACCACAACTGAATTTCAGGACTTTGCCACAGTCCAGCCAAGATGCATTCCAATTAGAAATAATTGCTATTAATGCTGTTACGATGTGGGGGATCCTACAGTGCTCCTGGACCTTTGCTGTACTGAATCCCCAAACAGTCTGAGCTTTAATCTTCAACTAAATAGACAGGACCCTAGAAGATACGCTTCTGGAATTGTAATATTGAGCAACATTGTGCTCTCTTAATTAACCTTGTTAACCAGGGATTTGGAACATCAGTGGGTTGGTCTAAGAGGGCCTTTGATCCTCTCAGTACCCATCTGCAGTTGAGTAAGATGTCGCTCTGAGGAACAAAACACCTTTATTCTTTGGCATACACCAAACACCTTCATCATTCTTTGAGTAACGATCAACAACAGCCTTGTTTAATGAAATAATGTTTGTCAAATACTTAAATTTGATATTTGTGTAATACTGCCAGGCACAGTAAGTGTTAGTTATGATTGTTATAATATTATCATAAAACAAGTTTGTTTTTTTTTAAAAAGCTTTCTGAGTGGAAAGAAAAATACAGGACAGGGCTGTCAGGTTCGTGCCGGCGACTCAAGACAAATCAGACCATAGTGTATTCTCGACTTTACACTCCTTGGGACTGCTGCCCCGATGACAGCATTTTACCCCAAGATAGTCAAACTCTCAATTCTTTACTCTTACAGGGTCTCCCAAGGTACTGCTCATCCCTTCCTTGCTCCGCACAAGAGGGAAGAGACAAAGGCTGCTGTTTCTCTTGCAAGGCTGCCCCTGCCAGCCTGGGAAGGAGTTCCAGGGATATGGTAATTAACATCTTTTTCTTAATCTTGCTTTAGTTAATCTCCAAAGCATGAAAGCATTTTGCCAGTTGATTAAACTGTAAGAATACAATAGATCCGAAGTGAGGGCAGCACTGATGAATATAAATGTAAAAAATTGCCCATTCTGCAGAAAAATGCCTCAACCTAAATCCCAACTTGAAGCACAAAGTTAAACACTTAAAATTAATTGCATGAATATATTTTTGGATCAATGGATAGCAAAAAACCTAACTTAGTAGAATTTCATCTTCAGAGTAAGAAGCAACCCTTCTTTGATCTCTTCTAGGAAACAAAAGTGATTCTGTTTAAGAGCTTGGTCTAGGATCACTGCCTATGGGGGGCGTGCAGGCAATGCTCAGTAAGGCTCTCGGCCACAGTGGTGCTCGATGGGCCTTTAGCCAGACTGGCACTTGGTCTGAGTATCCAGTGCATTCGAAGTAAGCATTTGTGTAGCTGTTTTGCAAAGAAGGGGATTGGAGGCAGGCCTTTTCTACATTAGGTGGTTACAGGTTCAAAAAGGCCAGAGCGGAGAGCAAAGGGGGAATTCAGAGCTGTGTGTCCTAGCCAGAGAGGTTGTTCCAGCTAGATCCCCAGATGTCCTTTTTGCCCCTCAGCTCTGCTCCCTAAGGCAGGTCAACCACAGCCACTGGCTCCATTTGAACCACCTCCCCAACCACCAAAGCTCAGGGCAGCTCATGGACAAGGCATATTATTTTCTTACATCTGTGTAAATGGAAATGACAAAAATGGGCTGTCTTCAGTTTTGGAAAAAAAGAAAATAGAAAAAGAAAAAAACCCAAAACTCAACCAAAAAGGTGATAGCAACATGATTTTCAAACACATTGGTTGAAAAGTCTAGTCTAGGTAACAGAATAGGAATGGTACTTGTGGTCTGTAGATACATTCCACTGTCAGACAAAAATACGTTTCTTCATTGAAGTACATATTATGTAACATTGCGTATCAGATGACATCAGCCATAGAGTTGGTCTTTAGAGCTTCTTCTTCTGGTCAACAAAGCCATTCATTGCATGAAAGATGCCCAAATAGTCAGCTATAAGCAGTCCTGTCTTGAGGGGCAAAAAGCTAAAAAGAACACAAGAATAAACGTTCTTGGTTATCATTCACGGCAGCATCTTTACCAGCTCTGCTGAAAAGCAGTGTCACTTCTTGCTGCAGATGAAATCATTCACTCATGCATACACTATTCTGCCTGAGTGCTACCTGCCTTGGGGTCACTGGGCCTTGCTCACTATATCGGGGGATGCTTGCCCAGGGCCTTGGCAGGTCCTGTGGCTTTGCTTCAGTTATTCAATTCACTTCTCCTTTCGATTTCCAAAGCATCACTCCACTGTACAACGACAGAGGAAGCAGTGAAGCCTTGTGGCGTAGGCATGGGCTTTGTGGGCAGATGAGCCTGGCTGGAATCCTAGCTCTGTCATTTGCTATGCCAGCTTAGGCAACTGACTCAACTCGCAGGCCTCAGTTTCCTCAACTGTAAAAGGAGGTCATCAATTTGCCTTTCTGGGACTACTGTGAGGATGAGATGCAATAGCTCCTCAAACCTTGGGCAAGACCGAACTAACACTGTTCATCTTCTCCATCCCTACTTGCTCTTCTGCAAGCCCATATATATGCATGGCCGTCATTTCAACAGAGCACTCTGCTCCACTGACCTTAACATTCAGTACTGCAGAGCAAGGAAACAAAGCAGGCAAAGGAAACCTGAGACTCATCCTAAGGTGGGGGTAAAGGAAAGGACCCCATGCTCGCTGTCCCCCTGTTTGGGCACCCCAAGGTCTCCAAGTGGTTCATCCCCTCCACAGCTTCAAGTCTCTGGTCAAGTACTACCTTCTTTATGAGACCCCTCTCCACCCACCAAACACCATTCTTAAAATTAAATCTCGCCTAGGTGTGGTGGCTCATGCTTTTAATACCAGCGCTTTGGGATGCTGAGGTGGGAGGATTGCTTGAGGCCAGGAATTTGAGACCAGCCTGGACAACATAGCCAGACCCCATTTCTAAAAAAATAAAAATAAAAAAATAAGCTGCCCATAATGGTGCACAACTGTCTGTAGTCCCAGCTATTTGGGAGGCTGAGATGGGAGGATGGCTTGAGGCTGGGAGCTTGAGGCTGCTGTGGGCTATGATCACACCACTGCATTCTAGTCTGGGTGACAGAGCAAGACCCTGTCTCCAAAAAATATTAAATAAGCAAAATTTAAAAAAAAGTAAATCTCAACTTGCACCAGTCTACCTCCCACTGTGGGACTTCCTTTTTCCCTTTTCCTGCTTTGTATTTCTTCAGAGCACTTATGATCTTTTCTTTTACCTTATTATTATTTTTTTTGAGATGGAGTCTCACTCTGTTGCCAGGCTGGATGGAATGCAGTGGCACGATCTCGGCTCACTGCAACCTCTGCTCCTTGGGTTCAAGCAATTCTCCTGTCTCAGCCTCCTGAGTAGCTAGGACTACAGGCGTGCGCCACCACGCTCAGCTAATTTTTGCATTTTTAGTAGACATGGGGTTTCACCATGTTGGCCAGGATGGTCTCGATCTCTTGACCTCATGATCCACCTGCCTTGGGCTCCCAAAGTGCTGGGATTATAGGCTGAGCCACAGCACCCGGCCTACTTTACCTGTTTGTTTCTGTTCTGCCCCCTCACCCCACAGGAAGTGATTTCCACATGAGCAGAGACTACTGTCTGTCTTGTTCTTTGCTGTAACCCTGACCCCAGATCCTTGGATGGTGGTGATTCATGACACACACAGCACTCTCTGAAAGTTTGCTGAATGAATGTTTGGTGGAGTGCTTGATGCGATTGCCTTTACTGAGCTTCTTCCCATTGCCTTTAGCTTACTCAGCAGCTATCTAGCCCTCTCTCAAAACGTGTCCCATAACTAGTATGTCATAAAATTAAACATAATCTCCACAGTTATTTGCAGTAGAAAAATTAAGTTCCATTTTCTTACCATTGGCATTACTATACTATAATCTGCTTTGGCAAGAAGAATTTAGTGTGTTGTGAATGCATGCCCCCGCCCCGCAATAAACAGTGCCTTACAAAAATCTATAAGCTATGACAAACATTTTCTCTCCATTGTAAATGAGGAAGCCAAGGCCTGGAGAATAAAGGGCATGCTCAGAGTCACAGACTTAGTCAACAGTGGGATCATAAGCCTGTATTTCAAACTGCTTTCAAAGACCCTTTGCTCTGCCCCACACAGCCTCAGTCAGGCATTCAAATTCCTCCCACGCCAGCTGAAGCCTGGAAAAATGACAGGATGCAAGAACGGTATTTGCTTCATTGCACAAAGCAGATATAATTAGCTAATGAGATAAGACATTTCTGTCCGAAGGATGGGCAATGGCTGCTGGCCGCGTGGTGGATGTGAGGTATAGTATCTATTTTCAAATAACTGAGGAATTGCTATTGGCAAGACTGATGGAATTGCATGTGGAGCTGGGGGAGAAGCACCAACCAACGACAGAAAGTTCAAACTAGACAGATTTCAACTCAAGGTGCTTCCTTACATAGCAGAAAGCCCGGTGAGGAAATATTTAACTAAATGACCCATTACAGTTTAGAAAATGGATTCAGACAGCATGAATCAGCAGTTTAGCATGACTATACTTGTAACTGGGTCAAATGTTCATTTAGTGCCTATGAATTTCAGCACTGAAACTTCATGGAGAGCAGTACAAAAAGAATGCTTTTTGTACTTTTAAATTTTTATTTATTTATTTTGAGACAGAGTTTTGCTCTTGTTACCCAGGCTGGAGTGCAATGGCACGATCTCGGCTCACCGCAACCTCCGCCTCCTGGGTTCAGGCAATTCTCCTGCCTCAGCCTCCTGAGTAGCTGGGATTACAGGCACGTGCCACTATGTCCAGCTAAGTTTTTGTATTTTTAGTAGAGACGGGGTTTCACCATGTTGACCAGGATGATCCACCCACCTTGGCCTCCCAAAGTGCTGGGATTACAGGTGTGAGCCACCGCGCCCGGCACTTTTTTATTTTTTAAGAGACAGGGTCTCACTCTGTTGCTCAAGACAGAGTGCAGTGGTCTCATCATAGCTCACTGCAGCCTCAAACTCCTGGGTTCAAGCAATCCTCCTGCCTCAGACTCCTGACTAGCTGGGACTACAAGTGTGCACCTGCCCTTAAATTCCTGGGCTCAGGCAGTTCTCCTGCCTAAACCTCTCAAGTAGCTGGGACTACAGGCATGCACCACCCTGCCTGGCTTATTTATTTATTATTTTTGTAGAGATGAGGTTTTCTATGTTACTCGGCTAGTCTCAAATTCCTGGCCTCAAGCAATCCTCCCACCTTGGACTCCTGAAGTGTTGGGATTATAAACGTGAGCTGCTGCTCCCAGCCCTTTCTTGTGCTTTTAAGAGGTAGTTTGCTTTTAAGGTTTTTCCCTCAAATTCTTTCACCAACCTAGAGCTAAAATTTATTATATATTGCCAGTTGTACCCATACCACAGATTCCTGAAGCACTTGGCTTACTATCTGGCCTTGACTTTGGGGCCCTGTACTTGAGGAGGCATGGACACAATAGCTATTCCCATAGGATCATTTTATCATGAGCACAAGAAAATCTCTCCTAAAAAGTCATTTCAATCTCTCCATCTATCAGTACATCCACTTCTTTTTCAGAATAATTAGATACTAAGGTGGCAGGAAGGGTTGGACCCATTTTCTTGACTCCTGGGGGGCACTGCAACTATGTAAATTCGGGATTGTTTCTACAACAGGCCCAATGATGGGATTAACAGGACTTGGCAGAAGTAAATTAATGAATTTTAATTTATCAGTTTTTTTTTTTAAGGGAGTCTTGCTCTGCCACCCAGACTGAAGTGCAATGGTGCGATCTCAGCTCACTGTAACCTCTGCCTCCCGGGTTCAAGTGATTCTTGTGCCTCAGCTCCCCGGGTAGCTGGGATTACAAGTGTGCGTCACCACATCCAGCTAATTTTTGTATTTTTAGTAGAGATGGGGTTTCACCATGTTGGCCAGGCTGATCTCGAACTCCTGACCTCAGGTGATCTGCCCACCTCAGCCTCCCAAAGTGCTAGGATTACAGGCGTGAGCCACCGTGCCCAGCTTTATCAGGAATTTTTAAAGTGGCTTTTCCTGGTGGGATTTGGAGTAAACGGTAGACTGGCACGTTAGGGAAGTCATAGAAGCTGAAGTAATTACCTTTTTAAAAACATCATGAAGTATAACAACTTTGGCATATATAAGTACATTTTTTCTTGTAGAATAGCTTCTACGATTTTTCCAACTGCATATTCTGGTTCCAGAATTGGCAACAGAGAAGGACAGCTAGGATATAAAACAATGACAATTAAAAAAAAACCGCAAAGGCCAAATTCACAAATTAATGAAGGTAACTTTTCAAATTAAGGATGAAAGGTTATAAGATGTTATCACTTATTTATTTCCTTTTCAAATTTCATCTGGTTTTATATTTACTCCCTTATTGTCCATGTGTCAATGCAGTAAGTAGTAACATAACTAAAATATGAGATGAAAGAGGATGATTCTCATTAATACCCTGATAATGCAATATACATATATGTGAAATCATATTAAACAAATGTTCCACACATTTGTAAAGTAGGTTGTTGAAAACACATTACCTGTAGTCTCCATGAGATACAGAATTGGGCATCTGTGACTGCTATGGACTGGGTATTTGTGTCCCCCATAAAACTCACATGTTAAAGCCTAAACTCCCAATGTGATGGCATTTGGAGGTGGGGTCTTTAAGGTGTAACTAGGTCATCAGGGTGGAGCCCTCATGAATGGGATTAGTGCCTGCCTGAGAAGAGCCTGTCAGCACCTTGATCTTGGACTTCTAGCCTCCAGGACTGTGAGAAGGAATTTTTGTGGTTTAAGCCACCTAGTGTAAGATATTCCATTATGGCAGCACCTTTTATATGACCAAGACAGTGTCTCTTCAATGATTTGTAGTCCTTCTGGAATCAGAGAGGAGACAGAATGAGATTGGATGGCAGGAAGGGGATGTGGACAGGAGAGCCTGGGAGATGGAGGAGACGATCCAGGGCCTGGGGGTGACCAGAGAGATACTGCCTTGATAAACCATTCCCATTCAACTTGGTATCCTTTACACAAACACATATGAAGAAAGACAGAATTCTAAAACCATTTATAAATCATACTGAATTGCAGACAAATACCTTTTAAACAACTTTAAAAAACAGAACAAAATAAAAGAGATAGCAAATCATTTTTAAGAGTGTAGATTCTTTGCAATCAAAGGGCGTACTTACCCTGTAGTACAACCTTCAAACATTCCAGTTTTTATAAAAAATGGGCACACAATCGTGGTTTTGATCCCCTTTTGTTTTTGGACAAATGTTTCTAAAAATACAGATTCAGCAAAACCAAAGGCTGCAAATTTACTTGCACAATAATCTGAAAAAGACAAATCATGATGATGTATATTCCAATATTTTAAAATGGTTACATTACGGTTTACCTATAATGCTAACAGCAGCAGAAAATGAGACAACTATTTCAGAGTTCTCCTTTTGTGTAATGTGGGTCTACTCCCACTGGAAGAAATGAGCAGGGAGTGGGAAGGGACACGGTTAACTGAAGGTCAGGGTCAGTTGATAATGACCAAGTGGACTCCAGCACAAGAAGGGTGCAGAGATCCTGCCTCAGGTCACATTGCCCGACTTACAAGTGAATGCATTGCCAGCCCCTGTGCTACTTCTTACATGGGGCCCCGTCTCAAAACACTGCAATCCCATTGGGGCATGAAGACATTCAAAAAAAGAAAGGAAACACTGACTGACGTAGGAATCTAGGTGAGAGAGGCCAGTATGGGTTGTGGTTCTCAGACCAAGTTTTCTTCCAACTATAACTCTTTCCTTCACTTCCAGAAAAAGAACAAAGGATTTGGTAGCTTCAACTTCCACCTCTTAAATACCTTGAAAATGTAGGGTGGGGGTGGAGGGAGCAGTGGAAAGTGTCATATGTGTCCATTTTGAGCTTTCTGTCTTTTTTTTTAGACAAGTCTCACTCTGTCACCCAGGTTGGAGTGCAGTGGCGCGATCTCAGCTCACAGCAACCTCCGCCTCCCAGGTTCAAGCAATTCTCCTGTCTCAGCCTCCTGAGTAGCTAAGATTACAGGCATGCGCCACCATGCCTGGCTAATTTTTGAATTTTTACTAGAGATGGGGTTTCAGCATGTTGGTCAGGCTGGTCTTGAACTCCTGACCTCATGTTCTGCCCGCCTTGGCTTCTCAAAGTTCTGGGATTACAGGTGTGAGCCACCGCACACGGCCTCTTAGCTTTGTCTTTAATCACACTGGTTTTAACAAAACATCTGACTATGCAGTTGACTCAGTGAAAAAGTTTGAAGAAGAGGCAGGGCACTGTGGCTCATGCCTGTAATCCCAGCACTTTGGGATGCCAAGGCAGGAGGATCACCTGAGGTCAGGAGTTTGAGACCAGACTAACCAACATGGAGAAACCCTGACTCTACTAAAAATACAAAATTAGCCGGGCATGGCCTGTAATCCCAGCTATTTGGGAGGCTAGGGCAGGAGAATCACTTGAACCCATGAGGCAGAGGTTGTGGTGAGCCGAGATCATGCCATTGCACTTCAGCCTGAGCAACAAGAGCAAAACTCTGTCTCAAAAAAAAAAAAAGTTTGGAGAAGTGGCATTGAGGAGCATGAACACTTTCCTTGTCCCTCACAGTCAGAAGAGGCATACTTAACTTGCTATGTTATGGTGCAGCTACTGCAACTGGCAAGAGCCAGTTTATAAGTGCCAGGCATGGGGTTGTCCAGTCGCAGTGCTGTCCGGACAGTGGGTCAGAGGCTGGAGACAAGGGAGTGGGAGGAGGAGTCCAGCGCAGCTTCTAGAGTCATTGGAGTCATCAGGTATAACTGCAGCTCACTGAGTCCCTTGACTCCTGAGATTCTGATGAGCAGATATGGCCCATGACCCAAGGAATCTGCATGCTAAACTAGCACCCCTGGTGGCTCTCATGCAGGGGAGTCAAGACTCACATGGTGGGAAATACAAACACTTGTTTCTAAGATGAGCTGCGGGTGGGAGAGTCTTGTATCTGAGGACAGGAATATTCTGTCTGAAAAGGATTGACAGGAGCTGTAAATACACCTGAATGATTTCAAAGGCCTGTGACTTAACATACATATAAGAGAGAGGTAAGAATAATATCTGATACATTCTAAGAGGGAGAGAGGAAGGGAAGTCCTGGGTCATAGGGAGGATACACTGGTGATATTTGGGGTGACTCGTGGTTCGGAAAAACCTATTCATGTAATAGACATACGGAGCTAAGACTGGTTTTGTGAATCTTGAAGTATGTCACTTTGCTCAAAAGCCTTAGGAAGCACCCAATTGGCAATCTGTCTTATCTGTTATCTGAATGTTGTTGCTACAGTTCTGTTGGCTGAGTTTTGGCAGTCCTTGTAAGCCGGGATCCAGGACATTTGCTCTAGGGGATGCCCTGGTAGGTTAGGTCAAGCTCTCTGTTAATTCTAGAGCCAGCTCCCATGCTGGGCCTCCTTGGCTGACAGTCTGGAAGGACCTCTCTGCTCCTCCAGCTACTGTCAAGTCAGTTGGCTGTTGCAAGGGAGATAAAAATGCCTCCCACTTCCTGCAGGTCTTCACCAGTGGAAAAGCACCGCAGTCAACTTTAGGTTTCTTGAGGTGAAAAGACTTTATCCAAACTCATAGCAGTGGGGCAACCACTTGAAGGAAACTTCAGGAGAAGACAGGGTCATCCTCCTTACCATCCTGTGACAGTGCCCGTGTGAAGTTTGGGGGACGGTTGTTATGTTGATCACTTGTGCAAAAAGTTTATCAGTGAGGCCTCTCCTTCAAACATAGGGGACTGTATAAGACCTAATGATTCCAAAGGGCACGGTCCAATTTCACGTAAGTCTATTTGATGGGCAGTTTTGCTGCACGATGATGTTCTCAACCACTTATTGATGATACTTGTTAGTTTATTATCCCTTATCATTAGGGAATTAAGTCAATGCTAATTACTCAGAGCAATTATGCAAGCTAAAGTTACAGGGAATTTTGCAATTGTAAATTGCTATGTTTTTCTCACCTGCAAGCCCATTTACTCCAACCAATCCAGCTGAACTTGAAATGCAAACCAAATGTCCATGGTCATTAGCAATCATAGCAGGTAGAAAGGCTTTATAAGTCTGAGAAGACAAAGGAAAACGTTTAACGTTTAATGTCACATTGCAAATGTTCTCAGAAGTTTATATAATTATGTGATTAAAAAATCTTTGTTTTTTCGGCTCAAAAAGTATGTGAAGGTATGGAGATATGAACACTTAAGCATCTGGAAAGTAATCATTTTAACCTATTTAACCCTTTAAATCCGTTTTTTTTTCCTATGGTAATTCTAGTAGTATTAAAATAATTTATTCAGACTTACGTTTTTGCTCACACTTGACTTTTGACAACACAATATTAAGACAAGAATGGAAGGAGTAGGGGAAAACCTCTGTTGTGGCAGCCACCACCCCAAACCTCACAAACAGGATGCTTTAGATTTAGATTGCCTTCTCTCTCCTTAGCCTGATTTTGAGTTTCAAATTTTCCCTGAACATTGTTCACAGGACATCCAGCTGTTGGCTTCCATTTAAAAAGAGGACTTTGTTTTAAACTCACCACTACTTTTTAAAATAAGTATCTTATTTTTGTTCCATTTCTTAGAACAGAATATCTATTAGAAAGAGGGCACATCTGTATACTGTCCAACACCTTCACCCTTGATTGGGGGCCTGGAGAAAGGAGGTAAAGGAGATAGAAATGAGCTTTTAAAGAAGACATCTTCTGCAACAAGGGAGTAACTAATCACATCCAAAGGCAAGGGGGTGAGAAAAGGGATCTCTTATAAAGGCCAAACCTCACTTGTTTGCCTGCATTGCCATAAGTCTCAGAGAGAAATTAACATGTAGAGAGAGGTGGGAAATCAAAGCAAAAGGAAGCAGTGCAGCAGAACACTCTGGGGGCTGTCGCGAGTCGGGACACTCCTCAGCAGGGACACCGGCTTTGAGGGCCCTGCCTTCAGGTAGCTCTCGGATGCTCTAGCAATTAAGTCACTGTCTTTGTGCCTGGCAATGTGCAGATGCTCAAAGAATGTACAGGAATTTGCCCAGAAAAAGTAAAGACAGTGAGAGGACATGAGGGGTGGTGGGAGCTAGGGAAACACCAGCATTTAAGTAAGATCTAGAAGGAGAGAGAAAGAGAGTAGGAAAAGAACACAAAGCCAGGCCGGGTGTGGTGGCTCATGCCTGTAATCCCAGCACTGCGGGGGGCCGAGGTAGGAGGATCACTTGAGGCCAGGGTTCAAGACAGTTGTCTCAATTGTCAAAGCCTGGCCAACATGGCGAAACCTTGTCTCTATTAAAAAAATTAGTCTGGTGGAGCGCACCTGTAATCCCAGTTACTCAGGTGACTGAGGCATGAGAATCGCTTGAATCTGGGAGGCAGAGGTTGCAGTGAACTGAGATCACACCACTGTACTCCAGCCTGGGGGAGGGAGTGAGACTCTGTCTCAAAAAAATTAAAATAAAATAATAAAACAAAAATAAAACTTAAAAAAAAATATCCGGGAGAGGCAGCAAGGTGCATGCATGGTGTGGGGAAGCCCAAGATGGCTGGTCTCAGCAAAGGCCCGAAAAATGCAACTTCTGGAATTGAGGGGTAACTTTAGAAGTCAGAGCTGTGCTTTTAGTGCTGGCATCAGGTGGTAACCAGAGCTACCGGTGGGACCTCCCGTTTCTCTGGTTGGGTACTAACGGAGGTGACGGTAGGTTTTGGTTTGCCCATAGCAGAGCTGATTAACACTTGCTCATTAATAATGCTGCATTTCAGTTTCAAAAGTGTCCTAGTGAGGACAGTTTTGAAATTACAAAGCTACCCTGTCGTGTCTAAGTGCAGTTACCCACTATGTAGCCTGGAGCAAAACTTTTAAGTTTTATGATCCCTTATCTCACTGAAAATATGTGAGCCACCTGGAGTATTCTCTAACATTTGCAGCTAATCAATACATGGTAGTAGGACCACAGGACGATTCCCTGGGTTCTGGGGGCTGTAGATTAAGTGCGATCAGGAGAGGACAACTGCACAGACCAGGACAGGTCCAAAATTGAGAAGTCGGTGCTTCACTTCGACGCTAATAATATTGTGAAAGAGCAAGAGGAAAGATCTAAGTGCCAGAGTAACTTTACATTTATAATGAGAAGAAATAATCATTACCCATAAATGTGCTTTGAAATTCACATCAAATGTCTTTTCCAAAAGCGCATCTGGACAGTCAAGGAACTTTTTGCCTGTTACGATTCCGGCATTGTTGATTAGGATGGAAACATCACCAACTTCTTTTTTCACCTGAATTGAATAAGAAGAGCAACACCACCAATGTAGTAATTCCTTATATGATCTAGGTTTTATTTTCCCATAGTTTTATGTTTTTGTTTTTATCCTGGTTAATTCATCCTGAGTTTACACTCTAAAAATAAAGTCTGGGGCTGGGTGCAGTGGCTCACACCTGTAATTCTAGCACTCTGGAAGGCCGAGGCAGGTGAATCACTTGAGGACAGGAAGGAGTTCGAGACCAGTCTGGCCAACATGGCAAAATCCTGTCTCTACTAAAATTACAAAAAATTAATCAGGCACGGTGGCACGTGCCTCTAGTCCCAGCTACTCGGGAGGCTGAGGCAGGAGAATCACTTAAACCCGGGAGGTGGAGGTTGCAGTGAGCCGAGATTACACCACTGCACTCTAGCCTGGGTGACAGAGCAAGACTGCATCTCAATCAATCAATCAATCAATCAATGTTTGGCTGATTTCCATTGCTGAGTCTACAGTGTACCAGGGATCAAATTTCTATGCACTTTTCCCATTTTCCTCTTAAAACAATTCTACCATCGAAATGCTACTTTCTGTTTACAGTTAGAGCTGTTCTACTCAGTAGTTATTAACTTTGTTCTGTGCTTTGTATGTGACATTTCATTTTAATCAATATGATAGGACATAAGAATACTTTCATTATAGCCAAGTGTGATACAGATCAAGACCTCACACACATGGAGAAGGGGCTAGATTAGGGAATAAATGGAGGAAAAAAGAAAATACAGTCATAAATCACTTAACAATAAAGATGCATTCTGAGAAGTGCCTTGTTAGGTGACTTGGTCACTGTGTGAAGATCACAGAGTGAACCTAACAAGCCTAGATGTGTGCCTACTACACATCTTAGGCCATCTGGTAGGGCCTATTGCTCCTAGGGTACCCACATGTACAGTGTATTACTACACTCAATACTGAAGGCCACTGTAACGCATTGGTAAGTACCTGTGTATCTAAACATATCTAAACATAGAACATTGAGACAGTAAAAGCACTGTAATATTCTGTCCCATAATGTGGGATCACCATTTTGTATGTGGTCCATCACTGACCACAGTGTCATTATATGGTGCATGACTGTATATATTTTAAACAAACAGCACAGACTAGAATCTGCTTCTCCTGTTTTCATCCACTGGCTGGTTTTCTTCTCTCCAAGGATGGACTTTCTGAACTCAGAGCTAAGCTATGACCTAGGGACACAACCTCTCAAAGTTATCGGAGAGTCAGCAGAGACAAAACGCTGTCACATCACTCTGAAAGTTTTCTCTTTGATTGCTCATCTACGGGCTACTACTTAAAAAATTCTCTGGTACCTTCCTTCTATCCTGAATAAAAAGTGGACATGGTGGGTTTATAAGGATGGGGAGTAATTTCCTTCTCCTGAATTTAGAGGAGTGCATAAGTAATTCCCTCCAAGACCCTACGGTGATAGAAACGGAATAATAAGCAAGTAATATGACATGTTTGGCTATTTCTGAAGCCAAACACCTGGGGCAGAACTAAATCACAGATACAGGGGAAACAGAAAGGGAGGTATTTATTTATAGAGTGCTTCATACTAGTTTATCCCACAGCTGACAGTCTTCATTGTTTGCATATCAACCGGTTATTGCTTAAGACTGGCCGGATAAATTGTAGTCAGCGTAAGTCAACATGCCAGGTGATCGGTGCTTAATTTCTAAGTAGCTGAATTTGTGAGATCAGCTATGCTTGGAAGAGTAATACCAATGTAGACCTGAGCAAACTTGTTGGGTGTGGATCTCCAGCCCATACTGGGCAGCCCGTGGTTGGAGATGGTTGTAGCAGAGATGTAAAATGTAAAGACACACTTGAAAGTCAAAAACTCACCTGCCAGGGACCTACAAACCTTGGCAAGGGAATCCTGGTCGGGTGTGAAACTACGGAGGAACTTTGTAATGCAGTCAGACTGCTCACGGCAGGCTTGGTTACTTTCTCCCTTCTCCATAAATTGGGCAATTCTGGGAGGCACAGACAAAGTGTCCCAGGAGAGTGATGAGGCAGGTACCCAAGGCAATGTGAGGACATAAAAATCCTTGTGAGGGACAGGCACATGCCTCTACGATGGTAAGAAAAGCCTTACCATCTGCATGTCCGAGCTTTGGTTTCCTGAAAGTTTTATGTGTGTATCTGTAGAAATACCACAGAAGCAAATGTAGCAGAGTCTTCAGGATGAATAAAAGATTCCGATTTTCTTATGACTATTTAAGAGTAATGCACATTCAAACGTAGGGTACTGTGGTTGGGTGGACACAGTCTAAGTTTAAAATCAGACTGACTATGGATTCAAATCCTGGCTCTGTCATGTACCAGCTCTGTGACCCCTGGACAGGTTATTTCGTGTCTCTGTAACTCGATTTCTTTATCCTCAAAGAAGGATGCCTCTATCTCCCCATTAACTTACACTGTAATAGGGGCCAGTACGGTGAGTGCAGTGTAATGTTAGAAGCAGGTACTCAGGTGTCAATAGACGCAAGGGGAAGCTATAGTCTTTCTGCTTACTAGTGATGCTTCATAGGTAAGCTACATGCCCGCCCTAAGCCTCACCCTCCTTACTTGTGAAATAGGGATAATAATGGGTTTTACTTTATAAGGTTATAATATATACATAGTAGTTAGTACAGTGTCTTGCATACAATAAGAATTCAAAAATCCCGATTTCCACTCTCCCATTATCTTTTTTAAACTAAAGGGACATTGGAAACGGGCTAATAGGCACTGAGAAAGGCAAATGAAAAAGAACGTGATGTATGTCAAATCATAACAGTAAACATGCAAGAGTTACCTGATCGGCTACTCTATATACTTCTTCCTTCTGGCTGCAATCACAGGTATAGGCGTGCACTCTTGTGGCCCCAGCTTCCCGAGCCATCTTACATGTTTCCTCGTTCCCCTTCTTATTGATATCCCAGAGAACAAGCACAGATCCCAGCCGGGCAAATCGCAAGGCTAAGAGCCTTCCCATTCCACTTCCGGCACCAGTGATGAGGACTATTTCACCAGCAACGTTCTTCCGTGGCTTCGGGAGTAAGGCTAAAATCAAAGCCTCCAGAAGACTAAACAGTGATTTTCCTAAGAAAATGAACAGTTTCTTCGATGATTGCAGGTTGAAAGACATGTTCTGGCTGACACCTGTGAAGAAGACAGGTTCACATGAAGACTTAGTTGTCCATTTCCTCTGTGTTGCTACTTCACAGAGCTCCTATTTCTGAAATAATGAAAGTAACTGAGATATGTGACTTTGACAGCTCTCCTGGTAGCAGACTCTGAATTCAGAAACGGGGAGGAGGAAGCCACGGGGACAATACGTGTTCAACTTTCTTAGTTGGCCCCAAGCTCAGCACGTTATCTGCGTGCCTGCTACGTGCAGTACACAACAGAACTGTGTGTTAACCAGGAACTGTAACCACACACCCAAACTTAACATGGAGAACACGTTCATTATTCCTCATAGGTGGCGTTTCTTCATAAGAATCACAAGTCGTGTTGGCTGATTTTAGGTTCAAAGTCTTGACCACATCACAATGTTTATGACATAATTACTACCTCTCTGGTTTTCCTTTTCCCTCCTTTGATGTTTGTGCTTTCTCATTTGCATTCTTTTTCTTTAATTTTGCATTACTATTTCAAATCTGAGATTTGAGAGGAAAATGTAAAATCCTCTTTGTAGAAAGCATTTGACAGGAAGTAACCAGAGGTTCTAGACCTTTTCCGACAGACTTGTGATCAGCACCAGATAGCCAGTCCCCAGGTTCCAAGGTCCCCGCCCCGCCAGCCTCATACCACTTACCACTTTGTGTGATTGAAGGTCAGAGGAAAGGCAGACCTGGACGCCTGGCCTGCACTGCCTCTGCCTACCTGTGAACTCCTGGCCGCAGGGGATGGGAGGGTGAGGTGCTTGGCCTTTCTGGGCCTTGGTCTCCTCATCTATGCTGGTCCTGTAGCATAGGGTGTTTTTCCACATGAAACGAGAATGTTCCACGTGTGAGCACAATGCTTGGAGTATAGTCAGTGCTTTACAGATGTTATCACATTTCTCAGATTCACAGTGCTGCCCACCAGGAAGGCATCCACTAGGTCTGCTGAATGAACAAAAGGCCTTCCCTAGACAGACTCACACAGAGCGTGGTGCTTACCTCCGGCTACCAGTTACTCCCACTTTAGTGTGAATGAGTATACAAGATGCTTTACTAACGATTAGCTGAGAAAGAAGGGAAGGTCTTATTTCCTCCAGTTTGAGAAGAGAAGACGAATTTAGCAGAGGGCATACTGTGCTGGGGGTGGGAGGCTTCTGTGAATGGGGTGTTCAACTGAGAGGCTCAGACGAAGGTACAGGTGTGAGGAGATGGGAGGGGAGTAAAGGAAAAACAGCAGGTCTTCACTTTGGAGTTCGGCTGAAGCCAGCCTAGTTACTGCTGATGAGTAAGAGTGGATAGATTCACCTATTGGAGGGCTTGGCACATGGCCACACCCTTAGGAAATGTCAAGAGTTGATGTGACCCAGGCTGTTGTTCCCGGCTGGCTTGTGGTACAGATGAGACTGAGGATCTGGCAGAAGACGTGGCTTGTCCAGGGTCCTGGTGCTGGTTAGCTGCAGGCCAGGTTGGTTCATGTGTTATGTTTATTGAGTATACACCCTGTGCTGGTTCTATCTAGGCAGTGGGCTGCCCATGCCCTCTCAAAATCTCTGTACAGGTGAGCCAAGTAATCTAGTTGAAGAGACATATTCAACAAATAAATACATTGTTATAAAGAAAAGTGCAGTGTGCTATAGAGAGGATGACAGGAGAGCTGATTCAGATTGGGCTTGGGGGAGGAGGCAATAGAGGTCTGCTGGAAAGTGACCTTTGAGTGGATGTCCAAATGACCATGGTGGGAGGTAGGGACACTGAGCAGTAGCTTTCCTGGCAGAGGTGCAAAATCGTTTAAGGCGGGCTTGGCCTGTGTGTCCAGAGCTGTCCAGAGAATAAGAATGCTGGCTAGAAGGAACGTGGACATTATGGTCAAATGAAGAAATTTACATCCCTGCGTGGATGAAGTAGACCTCAACTCTGCCGTCTTTGCTCTGATTTACATTCACAGAGTAACTTTTGGATGATCACTGCAGAACTTGAGAAGAAGGTGTCCCGAAAGAGGACTCTCATTTTAAATACACAGTCATGGAGCCCGTACCTGTGAATCTGCAAGGATGAGGGTCAGACTGTGCACACAGTAATGGGACACCCTAGGCACCCTTCTCAGACAGCAGCCTGGGCATCGCCAACATTGGAACATCCACACCAGGGGGACTTCTTCAGGCCACCACACTCATTTTTATGTCACTATGTGAATTCATGCAGAGGGGCAGAGGTCTACTTCCTATCACAGGGCTCCAGTACCTCAGCAGTGGCCAGATGTCTCAACAGTGACCTGGGTGACATGAAAGTTCTTAATGCCAGACATTCTAGGGTTCAGTATTCCATTGTCTCAATGTTGGCTTGATGCAAGACCTAAAATATATGTCCATCTTTTAACCCTGTCTTGGCAGATGCTTACTAGTTTCCTAAGAGCTTGTCATCCTGAGTTACCCCTCTCCCCATTTGCACTTTAGGGTGCCTGCTGGGTACCCACAGAGGCAATGAGGTCTAGAGATTAGTTTGGGTTGGAATTCCAGATATATCACTGATTTTCCCTGTAACTTTGGTAGAAATGATTTAATCCCTTGTGCCTCAGTTTACTCCTCTAAAAAGGAAGTTTCCAATAGTACATAGGAATACTTAGCACACACAGGAGCTGTGAGAGTTAAACCAGTTAATACAGGTAAAGTGTTAAGGAACATTATGTGGTCGCTACTAGCTTGCATGAAACCTCTGAACAAATTAGAAAAAAAAAATAAGGTAGGCATTGCCCTGCACAAAGTTCTCTTCCGGGTGCATGGGGTTGGGGAGGGGGTGCAAGAGGAGCTGTTTGGATTTCAGCACCTGCCAGCTTACAGGTGCTGCTCCTCAGTTCCCCTAATAATGTGGCACAGATATAACATGGAGGCCTTTCTAGAACAGTGCCAGGCACATAATGACAGTAAAATAATTAATGGCTAGAACTTCCACGGGTGTTCCTGCTAAGCATATGAATTAATAATCCCTGTCTATACCAGTGAAATATGGTTATAGTAGTACACTTACAAACAAGAGTGAACGTCAAGTTTCAGTCTACCGTAAAGACTTTCCTAGAATGCTACGGAGAGTACACTTTAATGTGGCAGAAGGCTTTTCGGTGTCTCTAATCTCACGGCCTACCCAATCCAAAACTGCGCCAACTTGGCTAACAGTCAACGGGTGCTCTCGGCTTCCCAGGTCATTGCGACCAGCAGGTCTGCTCTGGTGAGGGCACCAGGTCGAAAGGAGTGGGCAGACCCACAGTCACAGCTTGGGCTGAAAGGGGCGATAGGGGAGCGGTAGGGCCCGGGAGGTGAATGCGCTGAGCAGCATAGAGTAGGGAACCTGGGCAGAATGGACAGAAGAAGAGGGTCCAGGAAGGCATCCTGCCCTCTGCTCCGGGTGGGGAGGGAGGCTCGGGGTCGGCGTTCGCTGTAGCCACCCGAGCCTGGGCTTCAGGGACGCTGCAGCCGTGCGCTCCCCGGAGGCGCTGTGTTCTCACCAACTCGCCTGTAAGTCCTGCCGCGGCTGGGCGACCCGCTCCCCCTCGCGCGCGCCCCAGCGTGAAACCAGCCCAAAGGGCCACCTCGCCCGACCCGGGCCAGCGCGACCTCCTCCGGGAGCCAGCACCAGAGACCAACGACTTCCGCAACTCACCCAGGACACTCTCCTTGGCTGCCCGCGGAGAAGCCGGCCTCGTCTGTCCCAGACACCCGCGTTCTTGGCTCGGAGCTCAGGAGAGAATCAGGTGTTTATCCAGGCGCCGCCGGAGCCGGAGTCCAAGGGCGGGACAGCAGCGGCAGCGCCGGGGGTGGGGCCGGCCGTGGCCCCTGCGCGCCACGTGGGCCGCACTCTTGTTTTCTTTTGCTGGATCTGCAGATTTAAGAAGCTGGAAATTCGATGGTGGAGACTGGATACATGCGCCGGGATTTCTCTTAGACTTAACGTTTCAATGCCCAGGCTGCACCCCAGATTATTAGATGGGAATTTCTGGGTTGGGAGGCATCAGCTAGAAAAGTTTCCCAGGTATCTGAAAAGCACAACCCCGAGGTTGAGAACCCTAGAGGTAGAGAACAAAGAGCAGTGCAAGCGTCCATGGGGGAGGGGCCAGGTCGTGCGTCTGGAGCCTGCAGCCCCGGGTTTTCCAGCAACATCTGATTGCTCCACTTGGGATCCGAAGTCAACAGCTTCCTTGTCCCTTGGAGTCAAGGAATGTGGGCGTGGGATCCAGAGTCTCCGGGAAGTGGGTGGGGTGCAGGCAGGGGCGGGAGCGGGTGCGGCGCTGGCAGGCGGCCTATGAGAAGAGGGCGAGGAAGTTTGTTCTAACGAGATGAGAAATGAAGATAGAGAGTCACCAGACACTCTGACCTAATCAAGATATATTAAGCTCTGGGTGTACAGAGATCCAGAAGATACAGCAATGATCTACAGAGATTCAGAAGATACAGCGAGATCGAAGATACAGAAGATCTGTCAAGAACAAAAAGGATAAACATTTATTAATAAATCATTGGCAACAAAAGCCAAAATAGACAAATGGGACCTAATCAAACTCCACAGCTTCTGCACGGCAAAAGAAACAGTCACTAGAGTGAATTGGCAACCAACAGAATGGGAAAAATTTTTTGCAGTTTACCCATCTGACAAAGGGCTGATATCCAGAATTTACAAAGAACTAAAATAGATTTACAAGAAAAAAACAAACAAGCCCATTCAAAAGTGGGCAAAGGACATAAACAGACACTTTACAAAAGAAGACATACATGAGGCCAACAAACATGAAAAAATGCTCATCACTGATCATTAGAGAAATGCAAATCAAAACTACATTGAGATACCATCTCACGCCAGTTAGAATGGTGATCATTAAAAAATCTGGAGACAGATGCTGGAGAGGATGTGGAGAAATAGGAACACTTTTACACTGTTGATGTGAGTGTAAATTAGTTCAACCATTGTGGAAGACAGTGTGGTGATTCCTCAAGGCCTTAGAAATAGAAATTCCAGTTGACCTAGCAATCCCACTACTGGGTATATATCCAAAGAATTATAAATCGTTCTACTATAAGGACACATGCACACTAATGTTCATTGCAGCACTGTTTACAATAGCAAAGACCTGGAACCACCCCAAATGCCCATCGATGATAGATGGGACAGGGAAAATGTGGCACATATCCACCATGGAATGTTATGCAGCCATCAAAAACGATGAGTTCGTGTCCTTTGTAGGGACATAGATGAACCTGGAAACCATAATTATCAGCAAACTGACACAAGAACAGAAAATCAAACACATAATGTTCTCACTCATAGGTGGGTGTTGAACAATGAGAACACATGGACATAGGGAGGGGAGCATCACACAATGGGGTCTGTTGGGGGAAATAGGGGAGGGACAGCGTGGGGGTGGGAGAGATAGCATGGGGAGAAATGCCAGATATAGGTAAAGGGGAGGAAGGCAGCAAATCACGCTGCCATGTGTGTACTTATGCAACAATCTTGCATGTTCTTCACATGTACCCCAAAACCTAAAATGCAATTAAAACAAAAGACCCTTTTAATGTTAACTGAAAAAAAAAAAAAAAAGAAAGTGCCATATCTGCCTGTTAAACACAATAGCTGATATTTCTAATGATGGCCCAAGGTCCAGAGCTGCGTCCCCCTCAGTGTCTAGCTGTTCAAGATTTAAAAAAAAAAAAAAAAAATCAGTAAAAGATTTTATATAAGCACAAGTCACCACTGAGATGCTTGTAGTTAAAAGGGTGAAGTTTTCTGGGGGGAATGAGAAGCAGAAATGTCAATAAATTATGGGATGTTGAAAGAAAAACAGGGAGTCAGGATGATATTGGTTTTGGAATTCATCCTGGGGTTGGGTGGGACAGGGAAAGTGGTGAGGGGTGAAAAACAGCCTTAGCCAGCCTATATCTGGGACAGACCTGGGTAGAGGAACTGCACGTTTATTCTTTATTTGGGTGGCAGAAGAAACAGGCAGGCATTTAAGCTTGGAAAAGTAGGTGCAAGAAAGACCCTCGACTGTCTTTTCAGTGTTTAAGAGGTTACCTGTGTGCTTTAGGCAGTGAGGGAGCGGTGGCAAGCTAAGCGAGGTGTGTGGGAAGGTGAGTGGGGTAAGTGTGTGTGCATTGGTTTCAGGTCAGCTGTCACCACCCAGCGACACTGATGTGTGGGGCTCTGAGGAGCTGCAGGGCTTTTGAGGGAGAAGGCAGGCACATTCCTGACAATGTGGGTGATAGACATGCACCCCAGGTACCTCCAGTGTCCATAACCAGCCTGCAGGAGAGGCACTTGAGAGTGGGCTGAGGCAGAGAAATGTCACGTAATGGGCCCCTGATGGTGCAGCCTGCCTGAAAGAGTTCAGATGGGTGGACAATTCAGACGGCCAAAGAGATGCATATTAAAACATTCCTTGCCTTGCAAATTGACAGTTTTTTTTTTTTAAAGGAATGCCTTCACATGGGGGTGAGGGTGTAAATTATGCATTTCTGGAGAACAAATATGTATCAGGAGTTAGAAAGGGATATAATCTCTGACCCAATTCCACCTTTATCTTTACCAAATACCCAGGTGTTGTCTGTGGCCTTTCAGGAAACGAAACTGGATCACTGGGAGTGAGAGATGGGAAAGAGAATTTTCACTGCACTGAATCATGTGAGTGTAGTACCTTTTTAGGAAATAAGTATATTAATGAAAATAAATTGATCATTCATTCCTAAGAAGTAGGTGCAGATGGAGTACTTTATAGCCATCTTTATAAAAGCATGTTTTTCAAGGGAATGAAGTACACTTCACAGAATATCAGTTTTAAAAACATAGCACTAAATATATGCTATGATCCTAATTTTCTGTGAAAATTTTCCAAACATGCATTAGAAGCACTGGAAGTGAGTTCACCAACATCTTAATGTTTTTTATAGTATAGTAGTAAATTTTGGGTTGAATTTATTTCTTTGTATGTTTTTGTATTTTCCATTATGTGTATATATATTTTTTGTTGGTTTTATTTTATTTTATTTTTTTGAGACAGTTTCATTCCGTCGCTCAGGCTGGAGTACAGTTGCACGGTCTCAGCTCACCGAAAACTTCGTCTCCTGGGTTCAAACCATTCTCCAGCCTTAGCCTCCCTAGTAGCTGAGATTATAGGTGCCCACCATCATGCCTGGCTAATTTTTTTTTTTTTTGTATTTTTAGTAGAGACGGGGTTTTACCATGTTGGCCAGGCTGGTCTCGAACTCCTGGTCTCAAGTGATCCGCCAACCTCTGTCTCTGAAAGTACTAGGATAACGGGCATGAGCCACTGAGCCCAGCCCATTATGTGTGTAATGTATCTCATACATTTATCTCATAATAAAAATGTTTCTGAATCCATACATACACAGATGCTTCCATTACAGATGGCAGACTGAGTATATGCATTCATGTCCTATTTTCTTCCAAAATTCTATTGAAAGAAAAAATATAAAAATGCAAATAAACACGTTAGTGTTATAAAAAAGAAAGGAGCTACCAGTGAGGGGTGACTTCGTTAAGCAGATGGATACTATTTTCAGAAACCAGAGCAAAACATACCTTAAGTTATGACACACGAAAGGTACTGCAGAATTGAGTCATTCTTCCCAACAGAAAGCCTGAGTAACCCCAATTCAGTAAACAAACACAGAGTGTAAATGGGACACAGGATACCCAGATGGAGTAAGAGCGCTAATACAAAAAAAAGAAAACTCTGAAGGTATTGAAATAAAATATCAAAAAATTGTTTTGCAATTTGAGACTAGGTAAGGAAATATCATAAGTGAAGTAAGACAATAAACAACAGACTAGGAGAAAATACTTTTGCATAAAGAGTTGACCCTTGCTAATTAGCCATAATACATGGCATTTCTATATACTGATTGAAATAAGGCAGTGAAAAAAATGGATAAAGAAATTTATAGGCAAACAAATATAAATTACTGAAAATGCCTGAACAGATGTTAAATTTCACTCATATTCGGGAAAAGGAAATTGTAAAAGGAATAACCCCTTTTTCAATAATTAATATTCACATATTAAAAAGTAAGATAAGAATTCAGGATTGGGGCTGGGGGCATTGGCTAACACCTGTAATCCCAGCATTTTGGGAGGCCAAGGTGGGTGGATCACCTAAGGTCAAGAGTTCAAGACCAGCCTGGCTAACATGGCAAAAACCAGTCTCTACTAACAAATACCAAAATTAGCTGGATGTGGTGGCAGGCGCTTGTAATCCCAGCTACTCACTAGGCAGAGGCAGGGAGAATCGCTTGAACCCGGGAGGCAGAGGTTGAAGTGAGCAGAGATCGTGCCACTGTACTTCAGCCTGGATGACAGAGCAAGACTTCATCTCGGAAAAAAAAAAAAAAAAAAAAAATTCAGGATTGGCAAGGATGTGGGAATCACAGGCATTCTTATGCAATGTGGAGGTATTCGTCTTTGAGTCCTTTATGGATGGTAACTGCGTAGTAGGTATCATGCCTTTTGTTTTTTTTTTGAGACAGAGTCTCACTCTGTCGCCCAGGCTGGAGTGCAGTGGTGTGATCTCGGGTCACTGCAACCTCCACCTCCTGGATTCAAGAGATTCTCCTGCCTCAGCCTCCAGACTACCAACATGCCATGCCCAGCTAATTTTTTATATTTTTAGTAGAGACAGGGTTTCACCATGTTAGCCAGGATGGTCTCGATCTCTTGACTTTGTGATCTGCCCACCTTGACCTCCTAAAGTGCTGGAATTACAGGCTGAGCCATGGTGCCTGGCCAC